TCAAGTTTTTTTGATGGCGATCATCTCATCTCTACCAGGTTTAGAATCTTCCTTCCTTCCTCTACTGGATATCCAGGCATAACTTCCTTTACAAATTGTTAAAAAACGAGAAAATTGATTGCAAACAGGATATCCTGATCCAGGCTCCCGCCGTCACTGGAATCCTTGGGCTGGATTACCTCAACTCCTGGAACTCCCCATCATCGGGGACTGCTGCCTACTACGTCCACTCGACCTTCTGGCTCCTGCACGATGGGTTGGCGCCTGCGTTAGAGACTTTGTGGGTCCTCCACTCTCCTCAATCGCCCAATGCGGTGTGCCCTGGCGGACACAGCCTCCTTGTCCAGATTCTGCCGGGGTCTTGCGGACGAGAACCTGCGCGGGATCTCCCGAGTTGGAACCATCGAGGAGGCGGTGGTGCTCGCGGGACGAGGACTCCATTCTTGCGCGTCACCACACGTACTACCATGCTGGAGCCTGACTGCCCTGCCCAATCATCCAGCTCAGGAGGAGGTGGATTGCACATTTGGATCTTTCCAACACCATATTTTGGTCGTCACTCAGGCATTGTGCCCTCTCTTAAGTAAAACTAATCTTGCACGCCTTGCCACATCCAGTCCATCCAGCCTCGGCCCAACAGTCTTGCGTCGCCTGTGGGTCCACCGACCTGACAATAAGTCTACCGGTACTGGTCCTGCCGCTGCGTTTCCGTAGTTTTGTGCCTAGGAGGTCCTTCATTCTCAACTTCATTTTACTTATTTTTTTATAACTTATCAAATTGCCAGATCTATACATAAATACTAAAATATAGGTCTTTATATATGTGGCATCAATTTAAAATAACTAAGAATCTTAAAATTCACAACACAAACGGGCCGAACAACAACAGATCATCTTTCCTTCTCTTACAGATCACACCCTCTTGGGACGCGTCTTCGGCGCTAGCCTCTCTCTCAGATGACAGCCAACCTGCTTCGTCCATTGTGTTACCTATTGACGCCTGACCACGTGGCCCTATGACTGTTAGTGCTTGCGGTACGACATATATTTTCAAAATTTGAAAATATAATATTCAAGTTATATACAGTAAAACCTCCATGAGAAGACATTCGAGCTAGAAGTCACCTCTACCAAGGATAGTTTCACTTTTGCAAAATTACCATTTTTATACTATTAATCAACTCTCTGTTATGAGGACACCTCTCTTTAAATGACACTTTGCTCTGCAATTAAGCGTCCTTTACAGGGAGGTTCAACTGTATATACAATATATATACTGTGTATACAAGTATTTATATTGTGACACAACAAATATGGAGTTTGATATCAAGATATTACGATCCACTAGCGCGCCATCTGTTATCAAATTACAAAACTATTTTAGACGCGTAATATTCTTTTTTTTTTAATTAAAACAATTTATACTGCCCTTACTGCAATG